ATGAACATTCTTCGGAATATTCTGAAGTATACAGTATGATGCAAATGTATGGAATAAATTCATTATTTCAGAAATGGGCGACATTTGAAGAAATTCCAAAAACACGTGAGTTTTAATTTTTGGAGCCTCATCTCATGACATTCATATGAGAGATGTTACGTCACTGGTGTAGAAGTAATGACGTAATGGACGATTTTTTCAAATACAAGCAGGGGTCATGTGACACATCGTTTGAAAGGTCTACTGATCGTCTATCCAACAGTCAAAATTTTGCATAAGACTATTGCAATTAAAATGGATTATCATTTGGTTAACTGAATCTTGCAGAGGTCTGCTACTGAGAATTGAACATCGAAGGGTCGTCTAGTTGAAAAAATACACAATAAAAAAAGTTCTGAACTCTAGTTTTTGGATTTTTTTCGAAAGTCGTTTTGTTTTGAAATAAATTTATTCCATACATTTGCATCATACTGTATGTATGTTGTGAACGATGCTGTGCTGTCTGGGTTGTGGTACCTATTTATAGGAGTAGTTCAACAAAAAAATAACGTAGGTACGCAGGGTTCGCTGGTGACATAGATAATCCCGATGAAGATTCTCTCGGAAATAATTTCACTTTCTTACAATCGTTCATTTGAATTGAACTGCAGAAATTTATACCATGAAATATTTATGTCGAACATGAATTGAATAATATATTTCGCAGATTATATAATGAGTGGTTTCAAGTATGCCACTCCTTTCGATTTTTATGGGTAGACTTGTTGTCTGGTGCTCGGCTGTCTTCCTATAAAATTGATTAATAGTTGTTCAAATAATTCACATTACTCATTTCGAAGATATATCATTCAACTAAGGAAATTTATCTCCATGTTCTATATTTAATTGACATATTTTTAGGAGTGACATAACCCTGAAATCACCAAAGTGATAATCTTCTTTGTATATCGAAGAAAAGATTATAGATATTACAATACAACAAAAATCATTGCAAAAACTCGACACGCGTGTTACAGGGTGATCGCTGTACTCCTGATGCCTTCCTGATGATATAGGTTAATATGATGTCTCAGCATAGATATTATGAGCGTTCAATCAATAATTCTCGAGTAGTACTGAAATGCAGTCGTTGTGACGTTTTTGTGACAAGGAATGTATGTGGTTGTGAGCTATAGATATTAGGAACATTTCAAAGACTACGTACTGTCCTCATGTAATGTAGTTTTACAAAAAGTTCAACTTGGTCGTAATTACCACAATATATGTATCTGCCATGTGACCATTTTTGTTGGTTATATATTCGATTTCATAACAAAAATAATCATGCCAAAGCAAATCAAGCGATCAGACACATTTCGGAACATTCTGAAAGAATGTGTAGAGGAGGTACCTGCGCAAATACCCAAAAATTAACAGTAGAAATGACAAATCATCCAACTCCACTATAAGGATGCAAGATAATGAAGAGATTCGTCCAAACTTGAAGAAAAATGTACAAGGGAAGAGTTTCCGAATTTTACATACTGGAAATCATCTACCAATCACTGAATGTCTAGATATCGCCATAAGGAGTGATTCTGAAGAAGATATAGAGGTGATGGCAAAGCTGGTGTAGAATACTTGGGAATATATTTCAACTTCCAAGGAAAATTGAAGATTTAGGCATTAGGTCACAATAAGATTTTCACAGAAATGGAAGCCATCATACTGTGAGAGAATTTATAAATAAAAGTCAGTTTCAAGATTACATCAGTTTAGAATATGATATGATAAACGTATTGTAATACATCAGATATTCAGCTCACGACCTTCATGCATATTGATATAATGACAACAAATGACTACACAACGCTGCACTAATGATAGTCCAATACAACTCTTCCGCGACTGGCTTATGTATGAGTCTTTATTAGCAAAGCATTACGACTACATTATAACTTCGATGTGACCTCGCAAAAGTGCGCCTTTTTATCGTATTGTCATACATACCGACTTTTGAGCATAGTACAAGACGCATAGTACAAGACGTAAGTCACGGACTTTTGAACATGATCTTGCAGATGTCTGTACAACCCATTTATAACCTATGTGTGCTACTTGGGGTTCCAGCAACATACCAGAATCTCTACTCCAGTGAATCGAAACGCGACCTCCAGCATGTTTCTCACAATTCTCCAATTCAAGCCATACATACCACAAGCCAGCTTATCTATGGTATGGCGCTTCGTAGATCGACTAGTGTAACCCAGAGGTCCATGTAAGTGGGTTTTTGAGTAGATATTCCTTTCGTTATTACATAAAACAGATATACCTTTTTCTTCAGGGCTGATATCTCCTATTTCTATTGCTCGATCGACGGATGGACTCTGTTGATGAAGCTGCTCCAACTTTCCGAAGTTCTTCATGAACTTTTCGGCTATTTCTTGAGACATCTAAAGATTCTTCGTTATACAGTGAGCTAATGCGAGAGGATCGCTGTGCTCTTCCTTGGTGACGCCAAACTTTGCCTCCGATGAACCACTGTATGTCGCAATGAATTCTCCGAATTTGAGCACCCCTTCTTCCAGACATACCTATTGATCTTGTTGATCTTTTTTCTCCTCGACTGGTGTTAGTCTGTTTGGCCACAGGGTACTTCACTGATGCGGTGAATGACATCGTTGATCTTCTTCTTGGCGGTATAAGGTACTCACCAAGATCTCTGTAGTTTCGGAAAAAACCTCGTTTCCTTTGTGGATTGAACAACAACACCAGGCCTCCTCCTGCGTATCCTGTACCCTCAGTTCTGATGTCGTGTGGGTCTTTCATGCGATCGCTGGAGATTCTCAGATTAGAACGAACCAATTCCTGAATATCGTTCATCTTTTTCATCAGATTCGTAACGTAATCTTCTCCTACTATATCTGTAGGTCATCAACAAGAAAGGAATATGTTGGTCCCAGTCTTGTTGGTGTGTAACCACGACTTTGCAGAGATACGTCTCTATGGTTCGGTTCATTTGCTCCACCATGCCATCTGACTGCAGATGCAATGTAGTTGGTCTTACCATTTTGATTCCTAACTTCCCGCTGATTTTCTGGAATACTCCACTATAGAAGTGCCGGCCCTGATCAGTGTGAAGTTCCAATGGCACCCCAAAATGACTGATGAGTTGGTTCATCAAGCCATCGGTGACAGTTACGGCTTCCTGATTAGTGGTGAAGTAATCCATGCAGACAAACATGTATTTATATCCATCATCGGTCACTGAAAACAGCCCAGCAATACCCATGGTGATCCTCTCGAAAGGGCTTTCAACATTGTACTGCCTACCCTTGATTCACAATGAGGCCCATTTTGCTGGCAAAGCATACGGTGCATTTACTTCTTCACTCTCAGATGTCCCCCTGAAGATCCATCATGTACATATACGAGAACTCCCGATATTCGGCACCTAGGAATTACTAACTGCATCCAATTATTTGACCAGTCATCGCACCCGAGATTTTTCTTCAGCAGGTAGTCTTTTAATATCAAGGAGTCCCACTGACTCCAGTATTCCTTCAAGGTCTGTGAACATGGTGCTACATCCTGCCTAGAAAGGCGACGATTCGCTTTCCTACGTTTCGCGTTTCCCAAAGCTTTCGAAGTTCTAGGTAGTTCTCTTGCTCTTGTATCATTGCTGCAGATAACCAATCTTCATTGACAACCGTGGTTCTGCAGAGAATTGCCTCCTTATAATCCAAACGACTACAATGTGAGTACTTAGGTAGACCTTCTAGACAATGCATCTGCATTCTTATGGATTGTCCCCACTGGGTGGTCATATTCCTGAAGCCTCTCTATCCAATCAGCTACTCGGCCTTCGGGGCTCTTGAAATCCAGGAGCCACTCTAAATCAGCATGGTCTGTTCTGATTGGGTATTTCTAGCAATAGAGATTCTTGTAGAAGTGCTCCACTGATTTCACTATGGAAAGAAGTTTCCTCCTGGTAACGCAGTAGTTTCGTTCGGATTTCGATAGCACCTTGCTGAAGTAACCGATGACTTCCTCTTGTCCATCTTGATACTGCTAAATGACTAGTTCAATGCCGATATTGCTCACATTTGTGTCAAGAATAAATTGTCCTTGTGGAAGCCGATAAGCAAGAATAAAAGCTTTTCGATATGAAAACATCCTCCTGGGTTTGTGTTCATCCTCTCGTATTGGTCGTTGCCTGACTGCTCGTATTTTCACAGGGTCGATCTCCACACCTACGGCATGCCCCAAATAGTTAACCCGTTTCTGCAGCAGATAGCATTTCTCCAGATTGAGCGTGGGGTTTGCAGCCTGTAGTCTCTTGAAAACTTCCTCCAGGTTAGCCGGATGTTCTTCAAAAGTTTCACTGACCACGATGATGTCTTCCAAATGAACCAGGCATGTCTCTCAGGATTGTCATCTTAATATATTCTCCATTATTCGTTCAAACGTGGCCAGAGCATTGCAGAATCCAAAAGGCATAACATTGAATTGCCATAACCCAGTGCCGATGGTGAATGATATCTTATCCCTGTCTGCCAGGTCCATTTCCACCTGCCAAATATCCACTGGTCCAAAATGAAAAAAAAAAAAACTTTACTCCGCCAACGTGTCTTTCTTGTCATGTTGTTCAATCGGCGATATTCCCCCCAGGAACGGGTGTTTCTGTTGTTCTTCTTCACTAGGACAACTGGAAAAGCTCAAGGACTATTGGATCGCTTGATTACCCCGTCCTATTCTATGATGTCTTGGATGATCTTGTATGTAATTTCTCTCTTGTCCTGTGGCAATCTCTGGACTGCTTGGCGAATCGCTCTGGTATCCTCTGTATCAATTTTGTGACTGACGATGTTGGTTCTACCTGTTTTCATAATTGTCGGTGTCTCCTCCCGTTTCCGAAATCCACATGCTGTGCAATTATATCTTGGTCACACTGTATACAACATTGGTGTTTTTGTTATTTAGTCGATCGACAGACACGATACCACGATACAATGATGACACTTTTTTGACTTTTGATAGAATTTCAATGAACATTTCACAACACCAAAATATAAAATGAAGTTGTTCTTCTCGATTCTATTACTTTCTCAATTGACATTCTGCTCTAAACTCAGAAAACTTAATAACCATACCCCTCTTCTGATAAAAAGGTATGACTTGGCTGATATCCTTCTAGAAGAAGAAGACAAGAGAGAAATATTGAGAGATATCAAAACCATATACGCACCTGAAGGAAGAACTTACATGAATGGATCTATCTGCAGCAAGAAAAAAAGAGATCTCAACCATGATCGCCAATATGATGAAGATCTATCATGTCCTAACATGAAGAGAATTGAACATGATGAAATGTTTCCTGGAAAACGGACGATACATAAGGTGATGGATGATGAAAACGATATATTTAGCGAACACATTTTGAGGAAGTTTATGGAGGGAAGGGTTTTAGATGAACTAAATATTAGCTCCAAGTTATTGGATTTCACCAGGAACAGATCACCAAATAATTCTACTAGTATGTTTAGTACTACTATATCACAAACCACTCTTACTAGTACACAAGCTTCCACCGAGAATGATATTGTACAATCCACAACTCCTACTACCATACACAACATTGCTTCTTTTTGGAAATCGAAGCTTAGCACAAAAGAAATAAGGACCATTCAAAGTGGAATAATGCAAAAATATATGAACCCAAGTATAGATCCTTGCACCGATTTCTACGAATTTGCGTGTGGTAATTGGAAAAGTTATTTCACGATTCCTCCAGACAGAGCCACTTACGATACCTTCGAAATGGTGCGAGAAAGCCTAGACTTGTCTTTGAAGTATCTCCTCGAAGAAATTCCACCAACTCGATCAAAAGAAGACATCTATTTCCTGAACACAAGCTTCATAAGTGAATATTTCTTGCCAAATGACAAAACAGATGCTGTCACGAAAGCTAGATGGTTTTACATATCTTGCATGAATGAGGAAATCATCTCAAGACGAGGAGATGCGCCCCTTAGGAAAATTTTAAGGGAACTAGGGAATTGGCCAATCATAACACCCAACTGGAATGACTCAAAATTCGATCTGATTTGGCTACTAGCAAGACTGAGACTCCTCAACAACGATGTACTGATTGCTCAGTGGGTAGGCCCTGATATGAAGAACTCTAATGAACATATCGTTCATATCGATCAAACCACATTAGGGCTACCTTCCAGGGAATACTATTTAGAGGATTCTAACCCTAAATATATAATGGCGTACAGAGTATTCATATTAACTGTGGTCAACCTCATGGGTGATGTACCGGAAAATGCGGAAATTGAAACTGAAAAAATAATACAGTTTGAAATGCAGCTAGCTCAGATCATGGCGTCACCTGAAGAAAGAAGAAACATTTCTGACATCTACTTGAGGACTGATATCGCTTCGCTGACATTATATTTCCCCCAGTTCGATTGGAAATCATACTTTGACATAGTTCTGGGCAAGCATATTGACTTGAGAACGCCTGTAGCTTGCTACTGTGCCAGGTATCTACACGAACTGTTATATCTCCTCAGTAACACTAATCCAAGAACATTGCAGAACTATCTCATTTGGAGGTTCGTCCGGCACAGAACCAATAACTTGGATCAAAGGTTTCTAGATGCCAAACAGAGGTTTTACTATATACTCTTTGGGCGTGAGAAGAATCCACCGAGATGGCAATTTTGTGTCTCGCAGGTGAACTCAAATATGGGAATGGCGATAGGTTCATTATTTGTTAGGAAATATTTCGATCAGCAGAGTAAAACAGATACCATAGAGATGACGAAACAACTTCAGGATGCTTTCAAGCAAACTCTTCTGGAGAACACTTGGTTAGATAACAGTACGAAGGAGTATGCTCAAATGAAATTGGACTACATGGACTTGAAAATTGGGTTTCCTGATTTCATATTGAACGATACGGAATTGGGATCGAGATATTATGATGTGGAGGTCCATCAAGATTATTTTTTCGAGAATATTCTAGTAGTTCTGAGACATTTGACGAGAGTTGAGCAAAGAAGACTTGGTTCATCGGTAAATCGTACTTTGTGGAGTACACCACCAGCTGTAGTTAATGCTTATTATAGCAGGAATAAGAACCAAATAATGTTTCCAGCTGGTATATACCAAAACATTTAAATCTCTATATTTTTCATGTTACCTCTCAGTAATTCTTCAATTATGTTTCCACAGTTTTTCAGATCAATCTTTTTATAATCTCACAAATCAATATAAGACTTCTGAAATGTTTCTGTGGAATGGATTCGAGCCAACAAATTTTGTTTTCATGTTAATATGAAATTTGATGTTGTTTCTCGAAATTATATACCCACCTGATACACTTATACATCAGAAAAAAATCATTCCTCATCAGAATCCTGATTTCAGAGGTCTATATAGAGCATTTAAAACTGTGGATCATAGTCTTCCTATCCAAGAATTAGGTCACTCTGGAGTTCGTGTGATTGCGAATAACTGGGTTATCTTCTATTTCCAAAACTTGACTCATACTCTCATTATAGATAAAATATAATAATCCAGGCGTCAAAGACATAAAAAATACGAATGGTGGAAATAATTCTAAATGAGCCAATTTTTTTTCAATCTGTTGCTCAGGACCTAATTAACAAGTACTATAAAAATAATTCACCAACTCCTTCCGGAACATGTTTAAACAAAGTAGAAGTGGAATTTTATCGTTTTTTTTTTTGTTTCACGGGATTATCTCCAAAAATATGGCTAATAACTTAGGAAGACCCAATAACATATAATTCTTTATTGAATTTTAACCAACAAAAAACTCCACACACTTTTCCCTCCGGGCCATAGTTTGGAAGATATCACTCGTACCGGGCTACGCGCTGTAAGTTTCGGTGTTGACGGGCTAAGTCGCTGTAGCAGCCGTACTGAACGGTACTGTTTTTTCAGTGTTGTATCGATTCAAGTTGTGGAAGCGAAAAGGTGAATTTTATTTCAAAAAAATTGATATTGCAACGCATTGAGCACTTAATCTGCTGAAAGACTTTGAAGACAGCAAAAACAAACATGTGCTAATATTATTTTCAACGAGACCATTAAGCCCAAAGTTTCACAGGAAACATTCTTGGGCAATGATCACAATAAGAATGGAATCATTAAGCTATTGACTGATAGGATTTTTGCTGCTGGTTTTAGATGCAAACAGGCCTATGATGACGCCGATACTTTGATCGTAACGACGGCATTCGAAATATCACGTTATTATGACTCGGTGGTGATAGTTGAAAAAGATATTGATCTGTTGGTCTTGATGACAGCTCGCACTCAACCAGACTCGAACGTTTATTTTCTGAAACCAGGGAAAGGAAAGATTGAACAGAAGTTGTACGCTCCAGATTGCTTCAAATACTCTGGCCTTCAACAATACTTGCTCTTTCTACATGCATTTAGTGGATGTGACACGACGTCGGCTTTTTTCAACATGGAAAAGATGAAATTCGTAAAAATCTTGGACAATAATTATGATGACTTGCAAATTGTTCTTTCACCATTTTTGCAACCGGAAGCTCATCAAGATAATATAGCTTTTGGGTGTATGATTAATTGACATTCATCATACAGGGCGTGGAAAGAAATTCTGAATTGAGACTCTATCACGAATCTGCGATTAGAGGTCTATAAAAATCACAAGTTTCCATCGTTCAAGTTTGAACCCCCTGATTGGGTATGAAAGTGTTGAAAAGGAATATTCTCAGATGAATTATGAACATACACAAATGGATATATATTTATATGAAGCAATACATTGAGAATTCGCATTCTCTATGTGATGAGAATATCTACTCTTTTTCAGTTTATTCAATAGAAAACAACTACTTTCCTGGCTATATGCCACGACGAACATTGAATTATATCTATTGAATACACACGATAAGAGTTTGAAAATAAAATATAAAAACTTCTGAAATTGAGAATTTGCATTCTCCTTCAGACAAAAATATGTGTATGTACACATCATTCTGAATATTCAACAGAAAACAAATAATCTCCTGGCTATTTGCCACGTCGAACATTGAATTATATCTGATGAACATTCAAAAGGAGAACATGAAAAATAAAAAATAAAATCCTCCTGAATTGAGAATTGACATTCTTCTTCAAATCGGATGAATCGTATGATGTATAATGATATAGAAATATATGGTAGAAGAAACAATTCATTTCGCTTATACTTTATACGCACAAATTGACAATTTTAAGGACGAAATACGAAATTCATATTATATGCATATAAACTGTTGAATATTTGAATTGAATAATTCAAATTCCTAGACGCTTTTTGATCCAAGACTAAGACTAACTATCAAGACCAAGACCAAGACTGATCCAGTCTCGTCTTGGTTTTAAAACAGCAAGACCAATACCAAGACCAAGACTACGTTTTTTCCTCGAGACCAAGACCAATACTGATCAGTCTTGGACTTGGTCTCGCGGATCCCTAGGGATGATGCTTACTTATGGGTGAAAATATAAATAAATGCATTATTTGTTTCCGCAGGAATGCTCCAACCTCCATTCTACAACAGACACTTTCCCAAGGCCCTCAACTTCGGTGGCATCGGAGTGGTGATAGGGCACGAAATCACCCACGGCTTCGACGACAAGGGCAGGCTCTTCGACCACGAAGGAAACCTCCATATGTGGTGGAGGGAGTCCTCTATCGAACGGTTCTACGAAAAGTCACAGTGCATGATCGACCAGTATGGGCAGTATGTCCTGCCCGAGATACGCGTGTCTCTGGATGGATATCTGACGCAAGGAGAAAACATCGCCGATAATGGAGGTAGGTAGATGAACGAGCGTATAGCTAGACCAGCGAATCTTTCAAACATCGAGGTCATGAGACGTCACCCACAACACATATTTCTCCCTTCTTTATATTGAGAAACTACGACTACTAATTACAAGTAAAGCGATAGCTCAGTGGTCTATATTAGGGTGCCTTGATGGAAATTGACGTTAAAGTCATCTTAACAGGGTACGGACAGATCCTCGTCTCCTCTCACTCTAAAGTGTTTGTGAAACAGTTATATAGTTCCATCCTTATTCAATTCTGGGGATAAACACTAGATTTTTGACATTCGTTGTTTTCTAGGTTATCTTGAGGTCACTGGCGTATCATACGTAATTTCCATATGGAATTCCTGATTCAACTATACCAAGATATAGATGAACAATCCTCTAGTTCTAGAGTTTACTACTCCAGCATAATCTTTGCGAGGTAGGGAACATATAAATTGTACTGAAAGCTCAATATATTTCACCAAATGAGACTGTTCTCAGACTGTATACCAGGGTTGACTGAATTGACTAAATGAATTCTGATTTTAAGCTGAGCAGAAGTTTATCTATGAGCTGAGCGTTATGATTGAGAAATGGTGGAAACCTCGATGTGGGGGTATCTGAACTACTGTACTCATCATGTCATGTGTGCTAAATATATTTTTGGAAATCCAATTCGGAGAAGAATTTATGGAGTGACTAATATCACACTATGTATAAAACTTCGTCTGGGACGGAAAGTAGGCTGATAAAAAGTAATACGTAAAATGTGCAGGAAAATGAAGAATAGAATATTCTTTACCCCCATGTTATACATATGATTTTTTCGTCTCCTTTAAATGAAGTTATTTTCGAATAATTTATTGATGAAAGTAACAAATAAGTGGGTATACGCAGTATAACTTATAGGTACGTTATTTTCTTGCATCCTACATATTTTATATTTATGGTAGAGTAATAGTTATATAAACTAATGTATTTCGCCATATTGGATCCGTCATCTTGAATTTTCAAATTTTGACGAAACAATCATTATCTCCTACCCCGAGAACCCCCAGATACCAATTTTGATAGAATCGGATCTTCATTACAAAACTCGTTAGCCATATTGGATCCACTATCTTGAATTTCCCAAGTTTGACGAAACAATCATTATCTCCAACCCCAGAAAACCCCAGATACCTTCCAATTTTGAATAGAATCGGATCACAATTACAAAACTCGTTCGCCATATGATCTTCCTCAACAAGTTAATACCCTGTACATATCTATTATTGAAATTTTGAATGATTTTCTGTAGCGCCCATGGATGTGACGTGACATCAATGTCAGGGATGCCAGTAGACAAAACCAAAGTCTCTAGATCATTAAAAAAGAATGCAGCTATGATCTGTCCGTACCAACCCTGTTAAGATGACTTTAACGTCAATTTCCATCAAGGGACCCTAGTCTATATGTATCTGACTTCCACGTTGGTGACTGGGGTTCAATCCCTGCGAGGCGTGTTTTTTTAAAAATATTTTTTGCACTCAATCGATTTTTCAAAAATTAACTTTATAGGAAAAAGTTCATTTGGGATGAGTAAGGTTTGAAGTACTCTCCTTTTTCATGCAGAACAGATATTTTCCTTCCTCATATCACCTTATGAGTCTTATAAACACGAAAAACCTTTTGATAACCTCCAGGTTTGAAAGATTCGCTAGCCTAGCTAGATGCTTGTGGTAGATGATAACAAGCATCTAGATACACAATTTTCTTTGGTGGCTCCACCGACTTATAACTCTATCTACACTGAGAAAAACTGGTTAATTAAAACGTCTTGTTCCTACAAATGACTTTGCTATTTTTCGCCAATTATTTGTCATCAATAAAAATACTATTTGTGACAGAATTATCACAGTGTTGTCTATTCAGTCAATTAAAATTTCATATTGGGGTTAAAAAACCTCATTCTGGGGTTACTAACAACAGCTGACTATTTGCCACAACTGATGACACATTCATCGTAAAAGGTTCATTATTATTCATAGCAGAAATTGTTTAGCCATAACTAAAATAATGTTAGTTGTACTGCGTCGTTCGGGACCGCCTCGCGTCTCTTCGGGACCCACCGGCAAAAATTGCATCTTGCATCTGTTTGTCTTTCTGTTTCATCATTTGAACTTGTATCTTAATAGTGGGTAGATCGCACGGTCGTCGAGCTTACACAAAATAAATAAAATAATTGTCTAGTGTAGCCGGAAGCGTCGTGTTCTTGCTGGTTCACTGCTCTGTGTGTTTTCAAATCAATGTTTTGTGTTTTTTTGCACTTCGCGCTGAGCCATTTGGCATTTGGTTAGCAAAATAATAATTCGCAGTTTACCATCGTTATCTGTGCGTCACTAGTTATCAGATTTAGGTACCTATTCACGATTCAGTTCAGTTTACGACGGGCGACGGTGAGAAACATCCAACCGACATCACGTGTACACGGTGTATATTTATAATTCCCTCTCTTTTTGCTGAGCTGTGGCCTGTGGCACTCACGGTGTGTGGTGTATTCCTGTTCACGATTCCATTGGAAATTGGAAGGAAAATGGCATACAAACTGTTATTATTAGAATGGAGCCTTGATTTTAATTGATATAAAACTATCAAGTTGCCAGAATAACTGAATTATATTTCAAACGTTACTAAATCACTTTTAATATTTAATCTGCAACAACACACTCACTATTAATGTCAGAAGAAATGAGTAATTGCCCCAACTGGGATAATTTGTTGTGATAAAAAACATATATTGAAACAGTACTAACAATCTAATTGTCATAACTATGTATCTTGATAGTGGCAAATAAAACTTGGTATTATTCCTTAAAAAGGCTTATTAGTTACCACAACAACGTCGTAGATGACTCAACTAAACTTTTCATTTGAGGCAAATAGGCGTTTCCAGAAAAACAGAATTAGTTATGGCAACAACTAATGCTTGCTGTCCCCTATCGAACTAAAACACTTTTCTGTAGTTACTAATTTTTTAGTAACGGCTACAATTTTTTCCCTCAGTGTAGACTGCTAGTAGTTATATTGCAGCAACCCGAAAATGTCGGGTCAGTTGATCGGCTGAAAACGCTTCTGCTGAATACGCATGAAACCCCAATTTATCGTTGATGACTTTGACGTGGTATCGGAATCAACCTAGCACCCATTTTGTTCATAGGCGGCGGCAAGGTGGATGGCATCGGCTTCAGTGTTTTGTTCATGTCATTAGGGGTCGGCTGAATAAAGATAATTTCAAAATTGAGTGGTGGAATAATTTTTTTCGTTTTATTTCCGCCAATCATAGGAAATATAAAGTGCATTGTTTTTTGGTGTAAGAATTCCACGATTAATAATACTAAAAGATGTTTTTTTTCATCGGCGAGTCTATTATTTCAATTTGCTTTCATCAGAGTTGAGCAACTATTTATATCAAATGGAATCATGCATGTTTTGTATATTCATTCAGCTGTGGAGAATTTGAGTTCAGGCGTGAGCTGCCATACCTGCTCATCTATTTTAGACGATTTTGGATTGAAAGTGTACTCATTCAATAATGATTCTAGCAACGAATAAGAGGAATAAATGGTTTGTAGCTATTAAGAGATCATTTGACCTTAGCAACTCAGGAAGGATAATTATGTTCAGACCCTTTTACGCCAGACAGCTTTCTGATGCTTTCATCCACATGCGAATTTGCCGTTTTTTGAAAAAAAGTTCTCAGTATTTGGAAGCTATGAGACCTGAATACGATATATTTCATTCGTTTCCCATTACTTTATGCATGGTTCATCTACGTTCCATGGTAGACCCCTCCAAACCTTATTCCTTCGATACGCTTTGTTCCTCGGATTCATGAGTGTATCATGACAGATCCTAAATGTGCATGAATCAGTTTCACCAGTTCGATCTCCTGAGTGGCCCACCTTTTTCCTTATGAAACTGGCGGTCTAGATTAGTCTATAAGTCGGTGGGTGGCTCTCTGAATTCTCGCTCGTGCATGACGTCACCACGCATCACGCGATATCTGCGAGATGCAATTCTCTTTTCCTAGAAAATATTTTCAACTGAGCCAAAAGATAAATCATCAGTTTCAGTAAAAAGTTTTGTAATAAAACGCTATTCCGACCTTTGCGTGTCGAATATACTGAGGTGGAGGGCACAGCCAGTATGAAATACCTGGGGCAGTTCTGGAGGATAGTCGAATGAACTATCACGCTGATACCAAATATTATTTGACCAAGGCCAACTCTGCAATCAGGAGCTTCTATTCGCTGTTGACGAAGAATTCCTCGCTGACTATGGACAACAAGCTCTTGATTCACCAGCAAATCATTAGACCTTTCCTAATATACGCCTGTCTATTGTTCTGTAATATTTCGTCTATTCATATGGGTAAGTTACAAAGAGAATGAGGAACATACCTACTCCGTACAACTAGTTATTACTAACCGTAATAAATACTTTCGAGCGGCCGATAAACACGCACAGTGCCATGATCTACCTCTCATTAGGGATTATATTCCCAAACTACCGAAGGAATTCCATTCCTATCATAATCTCAAGGACCCACTAACGATCAATATGAGTTCAATTAGGGCAGATCATGGCCTAGGCAGAAAACTCGGGCTAATATAAAATGAGTACGAAATCTTTAGGGAACATCTGGAATAACCAGGGGGCCAGGTAGCCGTGCCGACAGAGTGTCAGTATTTTAATCCGCATTCGCTTGCTGGTCGTGAGTTCAATTCCTCGCCACCGAAGAAATTGTTATGATGGCCCAAGCAATTGTTTGATATTACACGTTAAAAGGTAAGGCCCCCATCATTCCTTCCTCGCACAAAACTCTCGAAGACTTCTGAGGGTTGCTCGTAAGGAGGCGACCGAATGACGGATAGAATAATTTTAGAACAGAACCACTCACCATCCCAATCCACCCCCACAAACTGAATGCACTTTCAATTTCCAGAAAAATGGCTGAATCCAAGACTGGGATTAGGTTTGGTCGACCCACAAAAAACAGAACGTCAAATTAAGGAAAACTCATAAGCAGAAATCCGAACATTTGAATTCTTGCTTACCCTAACAATTCGTCCCATTAGCTATGGAAAAAGACTCTGTTCTATGACATAATTCAGTCATCGACTCCAGCCAGGGCCTACTATATTACTCACCTCCAGCACACTTGTTGAATAAAGTCCGCCCCACTCATGGCCAACCTCCGGGCGCCACTTGTAACTAACTTCTGGTGCTGTGAAGCCCGCCTAGAGGCTACAGGATTTTCAATATTCATTTATTTTCAGTAATGTCCTGTACGTTTATCTATTGCTACAGTTTATAATCAATAATTTGACTTTCTGAAAAATACTAGGAAAAAGGTTTATTTAGGTCGAGTGAGAATAGATTGTTGACAAAATGTATCATCCTTTCTCATGCAGAAAGGATATTTCCCTTCCTTATATTGTTCGGAATTCAGAGAGCCATAGATAGAGATGGTGTTGCTAGACGATTACGTAGATATTCGCGTTCGGAGTTTCCATAAGCTCAATGAGTGTGACAGAAATAGAAGTTTCGATATTGCGCCGTCACACCCATTGAACTTATAGAAACTTCGAACATGAATATGTTCGTATACATTTGAAATAACCCAATCAAACCTGACATTGTTGAATTCATTATAATAATCTGTAACCGATTATGGGATAACATACAGGGTGTTCCTTTGAAAATCGAAAGTTAATGTGATTTCCAGGAAAACCGGAAGATGGAAGAAAATCCTGAAATATGAGGAAGTGCCCTCTAATAAGCATATTCTACGTTCCAAATATCAGAAATATAGCTATAAAAACAAAACTATGTATGAAGTCATAATTAAAATTGACAGTTCTACGGGGTGATTTATAATGAACTGCCAATGTTGATTTTCCAATAGTCATTTCAATTGGAACACCCAGTATATTTCAGTAGAAATGCAACCTCATTTTCATTTTCTTCATAATGATACGTCTCACTGCGAGCTAGTCAGGTTAGGTTAGGTTATTTCGATAGTGAGCTTAATTACTGCTCGGTTTGTATCCGCAACAGTTTTTTCGTAGGATTGAAGCAAGCCTACAGGGCCTACGAAACCTGGCTGGTGAAAAACCCGAACGCCGAAGAATATCTACCAGGCTTGAACCTCACCAACAGGCAGCTCTTCTTCCTCAACTTCGCTCAAGTCTGGTGCGGCCAGCAGAGGATAGAGGCAGCCAAAAGCAGGATGAAGACTTCGGTGCATTCTCCTGGCATATTCAGAGTTATCGGAGTGTTGAGTAACTCGGAGGATTTCTCTAAAGCGTTCAACTGCCCCAAGAACAGTCCCATGAACCCAGAATATAAATGTGTTATTTGGTGAAATGTGATATTGCTCTTTTTGTCACGCCCTAGCTTCTGCTGCATGACCTTCTTGACTTTTCAAATTTGAACTGATGGTTGTAATTCGATGAATCACTGTTTTCTACAAATACTATTAAATGATTAGCTTGTTGTAACACCAGATTTTGTCATTGATAAATAAAAATAGAGGCGTCCAAGAGCAGAATAAAGACTCCGGTGCATTCTCCTGGCATATTCAGAGTTATCGCAGTGTTGAGTAACTCGGAGGATCTCTTGAAATCGTACGACTGCCCCAAGAACAGAATATGGATGTGTTATTCCGTGAAATGAGAGGTCGCTTGTTTTGTCACGGCCTAGCTTCTGCTTGCATGCTGCAAATTTGATATAATGGATCTGATTGTGATGAATCAATTCTGTCTACAAATCCTATTGAATGTTTGCCTTGTAATACCAGATGTCTTCATTGATAAATGAAGACTAAATGCGACCAAGAGCAGAATGAAGACTTCGGTGCATTCTCCTGGCATATCAAGAGTTATCGGAGTGTTGAGTAACTCGGAGGATTTATTTGAGAAATAAAATAAATCCGATCATAGGCATTTTATTCAAAATCCGAAATAGTATTCCCATAAAATACTTGAAATGTATTTACTTTTGCCTCATTTATTCAAATTTGCAATATTTAATTTCTATTTGGGGGAGTACAAATATTTCACGTCTGAAACCACTAATGAAATTACAAAACAAATCAATTAAGTGCATTTTTCATCTACATTTTCTAGAACCAACGATAAATTTATACAAACCAAGACATTTTCTGAACCTGATTTCGTTATATAAACTTAAAATATGTTGCTTTATTCATTTTGCCAGGAATGAGTTGAAAATATCAAATTTAGCTTTCAATGAAGCCAATACAGTCCATAATTATGGGACTAGACAATTGAATTACTTGATAGCAAATACATTCAAGTCAAACATTGGCAAACAATCTGTTTTTCACAATGGAATAATTTTATACAATTCATTACCGAATGAGTTGAAAAATATACATGATGCAAGAAGGTTTAAAATCAATCTTAAAAAATACTTGCTCAGGACAATTTGAAAGAAAAATATGTGGCATGATTTGATTACTTAGGAATGAAATATAACTTTAATCTTATAAGACACAATATTAATTCGTTTCCACTGGGTGGAATTCATTATAGTTAACCCTTTATTATTATTTTTTTTATATGTATTTATGTATCCCTATCATAAATAGAAATGTTTCTTGGGGTAATAAAGACAATCAATCAATCAATCAAATCATTCAACTGCTCCAACAACAGTCCCATGAACCCAGAATAGGAATGTTTCATTTCGTGAAATGTGAGGTTGCTTGTTTTGTCACGCCCTAGCTCCTACTTGCATGCTGCAAATTTGTAATAATGGATCTAATCTTGATATTTTTATTCATTCCAGTTATTGCATCACATTCTTTTCTTAATTGATACATTTTATTAAAATCATAATATATAAAGTATGATGGTATAAGATCATTCATGAAGTATTATCGACTGTCGTTTAATTGAAATTACAAATAGTGAACAAAACTAACATATCATTAAGATATCTCAAAATAACACTACTCATATTATAGTGAACAAGGAGGCAAAAAGGAAGAAACTGGGTAGGAAAAAATAGTTATTTATTATACAAGAGAAAAAAGTAGTAGACTTTAGCTTCAGGTTGTCTCCCGACGCGCAGCGGAGGGAGACAAAAAACCGTGAACCAAAATCTAATATTTTCCCGTGTATAATACACTATTTTTTTCTGTGACAGAAGAAAGGACGAATCAATATTGAGAAGATATTACATTATTTTGAAATCTGAAAATTATCGACGTGAAATTTTAAGTTTTCAACAGTAGGGGCACCTGCGTTGTAGGCATCTTTATCATCCTTTTGAAGTAATCAAATATCTGATGTCACTTCTGTCAGTCTAATTCTGTGATTTGATTTGAAAAAATTGCGAATTCAGTGGTTGTTTAGTACCTAATATACGTAACCGCGAAGTCGAATGGAAGATAAAAGGACTTCAGTCAGTTCTTTCTCAGAGACGGTATTATTGACTCATTTTTCGGAACTATAACACAACAAAAGTCATCAACAGTGTATATATATGATATATATCCGGGAAAAAAGTGCTCACTTTTTTCCCACGGGAAAAAAATAATTTATGAAAAGTGACATTTTATAACCTGCCAACAAAAATGAAATGCCAAACTTTTTTCCCGTAACAGAAAAAAAAACTAAATTCATAGTCTTCCAGCTTTGATCATTCCTTTGCATATAAATATATTTCTCCACTTTATAGTTGAATTGTATAATATTCGGGCTGTTTCTGATATCATCAAGTATCACCTCATGTGTAAAATTTTTGTCCAAGTTTAGAATTTGCAGCTTCAAGATGAAAGAATTTTTATTCTCTAGTGTGATGACCATGAATTTGGGAATTCCTTATTGATATAAAATTTGATGTGATCACTGTTGCCTAAAAATACTATCAATATTAACAGTTTGCCTTGTATCACCATATGTCTCCATTGATAAATATTGATAAAATTGCAAGTTGAAATATCCATTTTTGTCATTTGACATGTTTGACGGCTTCTGCTCCGATAACGACTCCGTCTGCTCGAAATCTGAAATCACAGTCATATTCACAACCAGAATCATCATGAAAAATGTATCCGTTTTCAGCCTGGACTAACATCGTCTGCTGATTTTTCCCTCCGATAAAAGTTGTGTATCTATTTCCATCTTTAATCATTTGATGCGAATGGCAAGGTGCAATATCCATTTTTGTCATTTGACATTTTTGACATATTTTTGATGCCGTCTGCTTCGATAACGCCTCCGTCTGCTCAACAGCTGAAAGCACAGTTATATTCACAATAAAGATGGAAACGTTTGTCTAGAATCTCAGTCTGGAAGAACTACTTCAATCTATTCACAAGAAAATTGACATTTCAACACCCCCTCCTGGAATATATTCATATTCAAGGCCATGGATAAGGGTCACTTTACAGCAGTGGCGACTCCTCAGAGGCGGCAATGGAGGCTGGGCCTCCTCAGAGATTCTCCTTAAACTGATATTATCTATAATCTCTCATCAAAAGGACCCAAAAATACATGGATTCTGATTTTATTTCCTGTCTTTAGGTGAATATTTTCAAATTGGCAACAGTGCATGCACATTCATCACACGTTGAAGTCTGCAAATCAGGCGTAAAATATTCAACTTGGCAACATCTATAGGAGGCTAGACTCCTTCACAACGCGCACCCCTAGCGCGCAATGCGAATGCCCGAATACGCCCGAATAACACGTGTTTGTCGTGGTCGTGTCTCGTCGCGAATTGCGGACAATCGCGAGTGCATTGGTTATGTTTATGTCAGGTTAATGGTTAGGAGCTCAATAAATTTCTGAAAAATGAGTGTTTTGAACGATTGCGATTTAGTGGAATACTTTTTGGTGAGCCCATTCAGTGCTTTGTCTTATGAAGATAAATTGATTGTGAAAAACAAACGTCCGACACCGGCATTGAAAAATTTGATTGTAACAGGTAACAAACAAAATCGTTCGTTCAATTCTGATAATTATAAAAATTATATCTGGTTGACGGGATCTGAGGTAAGGAATAAGCTATTTTTTTCGTACTGCGTATTATTTTGAACCGATAAGTCATCATGTTGGGATCGATTAGGATAAATAATGATTTGAAAAATTTTCCTCGCGGATTGGATAGACACTGCAAATCACAGGAACACATCTCTTCAAGTATTAAGTTCAGGTTAAACTGGTAAACAGTATGTCATTAAAGCTATTGATTTGGGTGAGTGGTAGGAGTTGTTTTTCACAATAAATCTCATATCATTCAGCCTACCCTGTAATGGAAGTCACGAGCCGCCACTGCTATACAGTACTTGTACTGTTAGACTTTAGCAGAGCATTTGACACGATCCATTATGACTTGTTATTGAATATGTTACAATATATCGGTTTTTCAAGCAATGCTCGCCTACTCATAGAAAATTACTATTACCTCAAAAATAGGCAGCAAAAAGTATTCATAGACAATATTAAGTCTGAGTATCTAACATTGAGATCTGGGGTATTCCAGGGATCTATACTAGGGCCGCTATTATTCTCAATTTATTCGTCACACCTTAGTACCAGAATTATTTCCTGTAATGTGCACCTATATGCAGATGATACGCAGATATATTATAGCTTTCAACCAAATATGGTGGAAGAGATGCTTGTACGGTAATCAATAATGAGCTTAACGCTTTTGTTACACTGTTTGCTAATCAATCCTAGCAAATCTAAGGTCATGCTATTTGGCAGTAGATACACTCGTGCAAATGTGATTAACTCGATCATTGTCGTTCTAGATGACAACCTAGTTAGGTAGTTAGTAGGCAGGAGCTATATAATATTGTCTGTTCATTGAAAAGACAATTGAAGAAAATATGTAGTTCAGAGACATCTACGTGAACTAAGTAAACTAAGTTATTCATATTTTATTCCTAACCCATAACATTTTTCATGGTCCTGTCAAGTTTGTAAATAAAAATCTGTCATGTTGAAACCCGAAAATGAAACATTATCACGAAAGATATTATCAAGTATGAAAACCATCTACCTATACTTGAATGGAAGCAGGGAGATGTTTAGGCAATTCTGTATCAGGTTGACTTATGATGCAACTTGAATTTAAGTTGGAACTGTGGAAACTTCGGAAACTCATCAGTGCTTTTACACTTTTTCGACATGCAAGCCGAGCAGAAAGGTAGGGGCTGCTTATTTCCTTCTATATTCTTGATAAGTTACTATATAATTCATGGAATTCCGTTATTTGCAGTGAAAACATGTCTTTAGTGATGTAAACTATGTACACATCGGAATCACTATACTTGAAAATTTCAGGTACCTACCTACAGCGAAGAGTACCTACATGAATAGCTTTTCAGTTGAAAAACGAAAAACTATGAGTGATACAAACAAATTGATGTGGAAGAATCACATCAGGAATCATTATGTGAGTAATGTTCAGAAGAAATGTACCAGAAGGATGATGATGTTCGAGAACAGAATGGAAAATTTTC